TGTATTTTACTTATATGGATAAGGTTGATACCCATCACGATAAGTAATAATATGTCAATACCTTATTTAAATAAGTGGGACACAATTGGGCTACATTGGCTGGTGGATTTTATGTCTCCAAAATTATTATTTCTCTCTCTCTCTCTTAAATATATTGATTTGATCGTTATGTAGCCTGTTGGCATATGAAACTTTGGTATATTGAATTGACCAAAAAAAAAAAAAAAACTAAATTGGAGTTCTTGTTATTTACTATTTAGAGGTTTTAATTGGTTTTATGAACCATACATGAAATCTGTGAAACTTTTTTTTTTTAATTGCCTATAATTATAGAGATGTAAAATTTTGAATGGTTTTTTTAATTTGTACCCTAAGTCATAGGTTAAAAGTATTTCTTTGTTATAAATGTATATAGAAAAATATATAAGTTAATATTAATTTAAGTGAGTGAATTTACTTGAACGGTTGATAAATTAAAAACTGATTTTTATTTTTTTTATTTTAATTTTTTATTAAAAAAGTATGTTTAATGTACTAAAGGCATATGTTAAACAAACTCAATTTTTATTTCAAGAGATTAAGGAAAATTAAGATGTTTAGTTAATTAAAATGTCAAAAATAATAATAAAAGACTAAATATTTTTAATGACTCAACAAATAAAAAAGATTTATTAATAATATTTAAATAATTTCAAATAAAATTTTGATAGAGTCATTTTGATTTTAACTTTTTTCTTCCACTAAATTTTTGTTGGTTTATTTGAAAAAAAATACGAAGTGTACATAGAATTATTGAGGTGATTATCCTAATTTAAAAACTGTGTCCTAAAATAATTTCACACCGAAAACACACAAAAATAAATAGATAAATAGAGCCAGAGGCCCAGAGGCCCAGAGGCCCAGACCAAATAATAATGGAGTCGTGCCAACATCGACACGTTTTAACGGGCTGGCGTTTAATGTTTACAAGGAATCAACTGCGCAGGCGTTTAGCCTTTTTATTAAACTGTCAGGTTTTCAATTTTTTTTAATTTCCTGGATAATATTATCAGTAGATATTAATTGATATTGTAAAAAATTAAATGAAAAAAGATTTTAAAATTATATTATTTTGATAAAATTTTATTAAAAACTAAAATATTTTAATTATTTTGAAAGTAGAAATACAGATATTTTAGGTTTTTTTTAATATTTTATTAAAATAATATAATTTTAAAATATTTTTTCACTTAACTTTTTGTAGATTTGATTGATAAACATTAATTTGTAATGTTATTGGACAAAAATTTCTTTTTAATCAATGTAAAAAATAGAAATAGAGATATTTTATGTTTTTTTTAATATTTTATTAAAACAATATAATTTTAAAATATTTTTTCACTTAACTTTTTGTAGATTTGATTGATAAACATTCATTTGTAATGTTATTGTACAAAAATTTCTTTTTGATCAATGTTATTATTTTAGAGATCCTTATCAAAAAATTATTGATATTCATTATTGAATTCCTTTGGTTTAAGTACCATTTTAGTCCCTCAACTTTTCATTTTGGTACCAAAATTGTCCTTCATCTTTAAAAATACTAAAATTATCTTTAAATTTTCATTTTCGGTATCAAAATGGTTATTCCGTCAGTTAAATGAGGAGTGGCACATTAAAATACCAGCAAATCTTTTTTTTTTGTTTGAAAAAATACTGATATGGAAAAGATAACACACAAAAATTGATGAGATGGCACTTTATTTGGTTTATGTGGCATTTTTAATGTTAAACAAATAAATAAAAACCATTTATTATTAATTAATTAAAATCATTTTTAAAATTAACCTTCTTCTTCCTTATTCTCCCCTTCCTCTTCACTCTTCCCCAACATTTCTTCTCCTTCTCCATCTCTTTCAACTTCTCTTCCCTTTCCAGGTTCTGGTTTCCACCTTCCAAGGTAATCAGTTTTTGATTCCTCCTTGATCGTTTACGAATTGGATTTCTCAACTCAATCTCACTCTCTCGACCTAGAACAACATACCCAGAATCTGGTGCGAAGGAGAACCCAGGATCTGCAAATCTGAAACTTTTCTTGGGGTTCTCCCTCAACCCATAAACCAAAGCTTTCTCTTCCAGAACTTCCCTGCTCTTGCTTTACTACTCTTGCTCCTGCTCCTGCTCTTGCTTCTCCATGGAAGAAGACGACAAAGGAGAAGTAGAGTCATCATCACCATCGTTGCCGCCGATCTTAGGAGGAAGGGGAAGGGTGGCAAGGTGGGCCTTCATGTGACCCCTTAAAGCTTTGGCATTGGCGAAACCCCAACCACATAACTGCCTTGAACCAGCTTCAGATCTAAATTAATTTAGGGAGTACCAGAGGTGGAGAGGAAAAGGAGAGAAGGTTTGAGAAACTAGAAAACCCAGATATGGGTCTGCTAGTTGCCCTGTTTGGTTGCTAAGAAACAACAAGATACGACAGCAATGCATTAGTGATGCAGCATCTTGTTTTCTTTTGATTTTGATTGTGAGCAATTTTGAGTGGTCAGCTTTTGTTTTCATTTTTATTTTCTCAAAAATCAAACATAGGAGTCTACATCAATATCACTAATTACTGTATGATCCAGTAGTTAATTGTTACTCTTTTTTGAAAAAACATTTATCAAATCGAGTGCATTATGTTTGTAATATTAAAATCCATTTTTCATTTCGGAACATCAAAGATGGATCCTATAATTTGCTTAGGCCAAAGCCAGAGTTTTCTTTTTGTTAATGGTAAAAGCTAATTTCTATATCCCTAAGTACTTGATTTCATATGATTGTGGAATGAAAATGCACATTTATTTTCATCACAGAGTTTGGTGGGTTTGAGAAAAACCCAAAGTTTGGTGGGTTTGAGGAGCTTGAGGCACTGGTGGATGTGGAGAATATTGGGTCGCAAAGGGTGCTGGAGAATGCTGGGTTTACAAGGGAAGGGGTTTCGAGGAAGTATTATATGCTCAAGGGAAGAACAAGAGAACCCAGATCTGGAGAGAAAGAAGAAGGGAGAAGAGAAAGCAAAAGAATAAGAAGAAGGAAGAAGAAGGATGAGTAAGGAAAGGAAGGAGGAAGGTTGATAGAGAAGAAGCAAAACTGTTGAAGGGGGGACAGGAGGAAGAAGATGAAGTTTCTTTTTTTTTTTTTTTTAAGGTTAAAAAATTGTGAAACAATAATAAAAAAATATTAAATTTTCTTTGTTGGATTTACACATCATTAAAATTAAAAAAATCAAGTGATTTGCTGACATCTTAATGAGCCACCTGTCATTTAATTGACGGAATGACCATTTTGGTACCGAAAATGAAAATTTAAGGATAATTTTGGTATTTTTTAAAGTTGAAAGACAGTTTTGGTGTTAAAGTGAAAAGTTGAGGGACCAAAATGGTACTTAAACCAATTCCTTTTTTTTTTATTATTGCGTATTAACCTTCTAATATCTAGTAATCATATTGGGTTCTGATTAATCCAAAATCAAATTACATCGAACCCCATAAGGGGAATCTCTCTCAGTGTTTATTTCTCCATTCATAAGACTCGAACTCGATATTTTACTTAAAAAAATTAAACTCCTTCTACTTAAATCAATAGTTAATTGGTTTATTTTAATCCTTTTTTTTAACATATTAACAAAGGCCGGATTCGAACCGTTGTCCAATGAGGGGGAATGCACTTCAACGTAGCTCTATTGCCACGGGCCCAAAGGTCCAAAGGACCTGCATTTATTTTA